GATAGGGAAATTTTTTCCACAATTATATAAATATGCCTCGCGATTCCGTTCAATTTTACTAAGTCTTGACTCCAAAATAGGTAAATGTCTTATTGATATGGTTGTGGAATAAACTTCACTTTCAGTCCTTTGAGGAGTAAGTCCTTATTCTTGAATTAATGATGGTCTCGCAGAATGCTCATGTTGTCAGCTAGGGAGCTCAGAGATGGCTTTTTAGCACAAGTTATACTTTGGCTCGCAGATTAAGTAAAATGAAAATACTTTTTACTTACTAAATCTTGACAGATTGTTAAGTGTATGTATGAAGATAAACTCGTTTTCGAGTAAGTTCTTGGTATATCAGTAACGATTTGACCTTCATTTCAACTGCAACTGTGTGATTAAGAGATTCCCAGTCACCAGAAGAAGGAAAAGTGAATCATTTTTGAGAACATTTAACTTGATATGCTAAGCTGTTGATCTGTCTTTGGCACGCCTGGTTTGTGATACAATTATCAGACGAACCTGAAATTAAGAGGCTATTCAAAAGGATGCAGAGAAGGCTTTAGATTGCGCCTTTAGTTGACTACCAAGCCATCTGGTGCAACAAAAAACATCACCTGTGTAGAAGTGGGTTGACCTCGACTACGGCCAATATTGAGTAAATTCAGATGGCCATGAGAGAGAAATCAACACTTTTCACAAGTCCATCGATGCAAGATGAAAGGGTATATAAATTGGATTGTTAAGGAGTTTATTGTATATCATACGGCGCCTGCGAAGAGAAATCTATTGGCGAAACAGGAAGAGAAATGAGCATACGAACCAAGAAACATCGAAGGATATCGAAAGATCAGAACTAGCGGAACACATCGCACAGACTGGACGCGAGATTAATTGAAAGTCAACAGAAAGGAAAGCTCCATACGGTGACAACACAAGGAAGCAGAAGATTAGGGAGGCTATTGACATGTTTGGGAAGAGAAATCTGGTGAACAGGAGATTGGAGAAGGGCAGAGTTAGCGATAACTCTGCCTACCGCCTAAGTAAACCAGGGGAAAGCAAGAATGGATCAAGACCAGCAAAAAGGAGACGCCTGGATCAAGGATCGCGATGAAGAAAGTTGGGGGTAGGGGTTTTCGGCAATAAAGCGAAGACGTCGTCAGTGAGTGATGTCCGTTGTGAATAAACCAGTACAAACTTGGGGTCATGGCAATCAGAAAGCTAGACGGACGGATAAGCAAACCGCCACAGAAATTCGACTTTACGGACAAAATGTACCAGAAATCCACTTGAGATGCGGCATGCGACCAGAGATAGGTATACAAAGTTTCCTTGTGATACCGTTAGCCTAAAAGAACCCATTTTATTTCCAAATTAACTTATCAATGGTGGATGTCTGACCTTATTTTCGCAATTTTGTCATATTGGTCCATAATATGCATGATAATTTTCAGAGTCGAATAGTAGACTTGGTACATTCCCAGACGTTTCGCCGGCATCGTAATCGGCATCGTCAGTAAGTCTTGTCATTCTCAGCACCGAACTTCAACTCGTCAACGAGCCAAATGACTTTACTAGGATGTTCGGTTTGGATGAAAACGAAATGAGCTTTTGTCCGGAACATGAAAGTTATCATCGTGGCGGAATCTCATTCTTGAAAAATTTTTAATTTAACAATAAGTCAAGAAGGCTAGCTAAATCTAACTTACATAGTAAAAAACTAAACACCAAACAAATATTTTCCATAATCATGAATCAGATTAATTATAAAAAGCTTAACTTCAGTCCCAGGTCGTCAAGGTTTAAATGACCCAAAGAAAAGCATCACTGGGATTACGTAAGCCTGAATTCACTTCTGGTTGAGGTGATGAGCTGTTAGTCTCTACGCGAATAAGCTGTGGTATGAACCAACCAATCATTATTAGGGTCGTCAAGGTTCACTGATCCAAGGGAAAGTATGAGTGGGATTTCGTAATTTCATGTGTCCAATTGAGTAGAATTTAACAAGACCAGTCACGCATTCCTGGTCTTGTTAAATTCTACTTTGGCCAAGCTTGAGGGTATATATTAGGAGAACTGAAGGTTCTGAAATGTGGGATGTAAATGACCCTTGAGAAAAAGTTTCGAAACAAGCATGAACTGGGCTTGCAACGTTAGCTCACTGGATTAATTCATATTGAATAAGTCAGAGGCATCCTTTCCTACACATGAACACAATCCCCTTATGAGTAAGCGCTAGGAAATCACATATTTGTTTGTAAAATCGATCCACTCAATGCTCTTTAGACGGCTTGTTCGAGCTAACTCTTGATAGAAATGTGTTTTATCCGTTCTGAGTTTGGGCGGGTAACCGGAGAGATAACGTATAAAGTGTGTGTATAACTCTGCTGTTATTTTTACACATGTACTGGTTAGGATCGCTTAAATTGTTAATTCGTTTATATTCTCCTTTTTTACTATCATCTCATCTGTTTTTATCTAAGTTTGACATTTCTGCTTTCGCCTGTAATTTTTTGCTTTATTTTCTGTTCTCCTCTTGCCATTTTCCCTCATACATTTTAGATTATAACTTATTTTTTCTCTCATCTTGCCTCCATAATCCTGTATCTTCAAAAATTTTAAATTATCCTTTGCACCTTAGGCTACTTATTTTATTCACACCTGCTTTTATGCTTCTAAATTAACTTCAAAATGTTTCAGCTCGTTCCATGAAGCACAACCTGCCTCCTTTACACTCGAGAGGACCCCTTGTCAAAGTGGATGCACGACGGGCAGGGGCTCTCTATCGACCCGGTTGTCTGGAGATTGTACCCAGTCCTAAGAAAAGATTGCTGTCGATGCGCCAAAGAGTGCTTCTTTCTCGAAAGTCGCTGGCAGCAGAACCAGGGCCTAAGGAGAATAAATGTTATTTCAGTGCTTCCGATTCACAGGGGCCTATTTCGTAAGTTGAGCATGTTTTAGCGAAATTGCCTAATGTGTTTTTTGATTGGAACTTCTGAAGTTGATGTGACCCCACGCGGCGCTGGTAATGCATTTATAAACGACG